GGTTCAGTAGGCTGTCTGTGTATGCCATCAAAATAAAACTGAAACTTACTGTACAGTATGAAAGAGAGGACTATCTTTTTGAACCTAGTTGAAGTAGACGCTACCAGATTTTCAGCACCTGAGCAGTGAACGAAATCGGTGTCTTTTTTCACCTGTCTAATTCTAATGCAAGATGACGGATGTGAAGTCTCACTTCAAGTGTGCTCCAACTCATGTCAAAACCGGAGAGACAGAACTAACGAACTGTGCCGTCGTTTCTCAGATGGCTATTTTGGATTCGTCAAGCTGAGACATTTGCTGTCCCCCATGAAGTCCGCACGCTGAATTTGACAAGCTTATTTAAGATTTGATGAGACACACAAGAAGGACATTTTTGGACTAGGTAACCAGATACAACGTACAAGATTTTGAGACTATTTGAATGCCGCCTAGATGTTTTAGTGGCGCAAATCTGCACCCACACCCACTGCTAAGTCAAAAAGGTTAAATTGCTAACCCAGTGGCCAGGTGGTCCTTCATTCCCAATACCTATTCTCATTCATCACTCATTGGTCCTTCTCAAAACTCACTCCATTCTGGCTCACTACTTTAGCTTCAAGAAAAAAGTGAATTATGAATCATTTGGCTGGCCTTATGCTCAACTGTTATACCACTCATCAGCGGGGTTCAGTAGGAAAGGGTCGCCGCCAGTGGACTAGAAACTTCAGAATCAATCATTAACATGAACACACACTAGGTTTTGTGAACCGAATTCTGTTCAATGAACATTTAAAAAATTTATCCCTTGCGCATGAATATTTCATTGGGCTTGCTTAGATGCAATCGGGCCACTCTGGTGAAACAGCCATCTCCAATTACTAGCGCATTCATTCCGATTGGCCCATACCAAACAAAAGAAGCACTTGATTGGAGTTTTGCTCTTATTTAAGCTTGTCTATAGTATGTATATTGCGTACTGCGGGATTTGAACCGATGAATTCTGATGGGCACGAGTCTGTGTTGAACATCAACACATACTAGACGTACCCGAATTATTGCGTCAAGATTGTCAAGGTTTCGGGCTTGGTCGATCCAGCCGCTAGTCAGTCCAGCAGCTCAAATAATTACCGAGTAACTCGCCAGATTGCGTTGATTGCTTACGCAGCCTGTCAGAAATCCCTTGTCCACTAGCTCCACAGACACCTGCAACCCGCTAAATAGCGTCCACCAGGTGAAAATGATCGTGGGATTTGGCATCGGACAAGCCAGTCAGATCGCTCAAGAGCGACCACATTCGTTTGTTAGAGTCATGATTTATGCACATAGTGCGCCGGCGGGATAGCGGTCATAACCTCGTCTCGAATCTCAAATGTCTCTGGATCTCAACATGGGACTGCTCAGTTCTCCTGTGAATCTATCCAACAGGAGAGTTTTTTGCAGATTGCAACACCAGCTTCACATTGTTATTGGACCTCAGGAATACTGACAACAGGAATACGTCGAGGTCCTTCAAATACATCAGGAATTGTGTAGGAAACCAAAGAGTGCCACTTGCACGGATCTTTTGAGGTCTATTGGATGATCTGGTAGATTGATTTGTGTTTATAGCTATTTCTATATAAATGACTATTTTAAAAGTATAGGTGAATGAGTTACATGCAAGGTGTGCTATCTCAGACCTGGTAACAATTAACACAAAAATTCTCGCTGAAGTTTGAAACTCGTTATCCAGGACTTTAGAGGGAAGCTTTACCTAAGCCTATCCGTGACCGATCAGACCCAGCCGGTTGCCGCGGCCGCCACCAAATGTGCAGCTTGTGGACAGCAGAACAGTGTGCTTTGAAACTGATAACGTTGGCTGACCATGGTAGATTGGAGAACCCTTAAATTAGTGCTAAATTAGTGCTAACAGACTACGATACCTTTGGAATGCACTCGTTAATTGTACCACGTCGAATATTATTTCAGGTTTTCCGTGTGAGCTTCGGTAGAGAAATCTAACAAAGACTTCAAGTCAATGATTTACCGTTAGCTCACGTGGGGATCGAAACGAACGACGTAAGTTGCTTCGATTTGCTCTCAAACTATTGTGATAAATCTGTGTCAAATACACTTTAGACTAGGGTGGTAATCATACTACCATATCATGACGATTGTCACCAATCCTACGGGAGCCACTTCTCAGAAGACTGGGAAGCACTCGGTTTTACTTCATTCCAGTATGGCTAAAACGTTTGCTTCTGTAAGGCGCCTTTAGGCTCGTTTCCTCTTTGACAGCTATACGCTTCTTTACAATATTAAGGCCTTCTGGCGAAACGCTCTCGTTTCGATTGCTTAAGAATTCATGCGAATATTGTGCTCGGTAGCAACACAACTTCTTTATCCGTAGCTGCGGGAGACAAATGGAATCCATTACAACGGATTCAAAAGTTTGAGAAATAAAAATAGAATCTTATTGCGTGGTGAACACTCCAGCCTACCCATATGATAAAAGAACTGACATTTTAAAACCTTCCTTTGATAACTACTCCATTTAGGGAGACCTAAACACTTTTCAGTCAGAGCTTTAGCTGGTATGTCTGAATTGTGTTATGTCGGACAGGGAACCACGGTGTGAATCGGGAGTGTATTCAAGATGCCTATACTAATAATTGCCACGTAGAACAAATAAAAACCCACTGATTAGTTTAATATTAAAGGTATTAGGCTAAACTAAACGTCTATTGCGCATGCTGTCCTTACGTGCAGTCAACTTGTTTGATAATAATCATCTAGGATGTGTGTCACGTAGACAACGTAAGTAAACGAAGGAAGGAAAAAAGCTACGGATGATGCAACTTATTCTGCTGTCTAGTTCACGTGAGGCTGTGATAAAAATGACTTTGGACATAAGAGGACGATGAATATGGATGATATCGCTTTCGGTTATATTTTGTCTGACTTGTGTAATGTGTGCTGATTTTAAAAGGTTGATAAGAGTATCGAACTAGGGATGTGGATAAAACCAACTCTGTTTCGGTGGAGTTGACTGTCTCCAAACTGTCAAATGCTCACCGTTGAATGCCTGTGACTGTCAACCGATTTATTGCCAGAGTTCCAGATGGTTTGTTCAGATGTTTTGGGTGGCAAAATCGCTTTTTCTCTGTAGGAGTGCTCAAGTAGGCAGGCTCAATAGTTGTTGGAGAAAAGTTCATTGTCCTAGGTATTTTGCTGTTTTCACTTTAAGGCATTTGCTTCTCGGGTACATAATTATAACCAGCTTCTTTCCTGAGTACAGGTGACCGATAGTTGTGTTTTCTGACTCACTGCTTCAAAAGCTAATCATAAGTGGTTGCGGTCAACTAACCACTCCGCGGTGGGGCTTACTTCGAACTGGGGGATGGTAATGGGAACAAGGACAACTAGTAGTTTGTGAGTAAGATGCCCGCAATGTTGTTTGTCGAATTAAGGCTTCTTTACCTACTCAGTCTTGACGATCAATGCTGAAAAAGGATCTGCTAATTAGGAGGTATCCGCGATAAAAGTACAGCACACATCTGCTTACCGGTGGGCTACAGATTCAACTGTAAGTAGAAATTTGGGAATTGCATCTTGCTGGTAATTTCCAAAAGTAAAATTGTTATGCAGTGCTTCTTGACATTCCAAAATATACTGACTTTATTTACAGGTTGCATCGTCCGTCGATGAACCAAAATTTAACAAACATACAGAAAGCATGGGACACATCTTATGGACAAATGATTAGGTGATATGTGATAGGAAGTTTCAGGTGTCTTTTATTGCAAACAGATATAGTTTATACGCGGATATATATGCTTTAGTCAACGTTTTTTTCAGTCATCGTAAACACATTTATCTCGGCTGTCTAAAAATATACGTAAGTTATTGAAAGTGAAGTTGCTCCAGTGCACTGATGGCACCCATATAGGCTGATGAACTCCTGTTTCAATAAACGGCAACCGAGCTTTTTTAACTTTTGTCACAACATGCTTGGTGCTAACAACTAAAACTATTTCCCCGCAGTAGTTACTGGCGATAGTACGGTAGGAGTTTTTTCTACCGCTAGAACTCAAACCCTCTGGCTAACATGGGCTCAAGAGCCCATTATACAAGCTTGAAAAAAACTGAGGTGCATATTTAGTGGACGTTAGAAATTATGGGGTCGAAGCTAGGCTGGGAAGCCATTAAGTCTCTCCAAGAGGAGTAGTGTAAGAAACCGGTGAAAGTTATGGCTTTTATGTATAAATCATCAGAAAGTCAAATCTAATACGTCAACAGATACTAGAATTATATTTGGTTGGGATCTGCTCATGAATACGTTGAAAGAGAATAAAATTTCCGATTGGAGTTTACATGAAATTTCTATCTGACAATTCATCTTTTGAGATTCTCACCGCTCTATCTGGACTATGGTCAACGAATAGTAATGCACTATCTCCAGCGCGGTAATTACACTGTTGTGCCGCCATTCGAAAGTGATTGGTAAACCTGCTGGTGAGAAATCAAAAGCTGAATATGCTTCGAGCATCGGTGATGTGCGCACAGCTGACTATACCAAACGAAGTTTTGTCCTATCACCACAGGATAGTTTTAAATTCAGTAGCTTCATAGAGGTTACTGTCCACTGAAATCCCGTGCAAAGCTTCACGGCTGCATTAAGTAAGACTATGTTAGCGAATATCGGGAAACTTGATGATCGGTCACCCAGCTTTCACCAAGCATTTTGCTATGGCCTATTAACATTCGTTGTAAAATTTCCGCACATTGTCGAACGGACTGTCTAAAAATCTTTGTACAAATTTGTAAGCCAAAAATTAGTGAAATAAATAAAACTAGCTCAGTGCCTTAATTCTTCTGATAGCTTACAGGAGCACTTCTCTAAAATTAGGTTTTTATTGATTATTTACTCACATCTTACGACTAACTACTTAGTTAATAAGAAATTTAGAAGTGAAAAATTTTATGCGATGCCATATCACACACAATATATTTTCCATCCTTAGCCTAAACTTCCTCTGGGGCTAATGTTTTGAAGCTGAACTTACCAGATTAATAACACCCTTTTTTGTTACTTTGAAACTTCGCACACGACATAGGCTAAAGTCTGCGTGTTGATCATAGTCCAGCGCGTAGTCACGCGGTTTGTCATATCCACAGGCATCTTTAGGCATCACTGATTCGGAAGCGTACTGCTCAGCTGGTTTCTTCAGGTTTGCTGGATGACACGGTTGTTTCAATTGAAATCGGTCGCGTGCGTGGCTAGATCGGAAACTTGCTCTCGCTTGATCTCGCCTAAAACTTGTAGTGGCTTCGAGTTCACATGGCTTACGTTCGATTAAACTGCGCACTCTTCTCAAGTCTTCTCGATCATTTGCCAAAGAAGCGGGTGAACGAATTTGAGGACTGTCGTTGAACAGAACTTGGCTACGAAGAGAATGACGGACACGAAGTTCATCCTGTTTCCAGTGTGTTGTGGGTGACTTGGAAATACGCGCAAATCTTTCAAAATCATCCGGCATCAAATTTTCACTTGACCGTGAGGGTACATTATGTTCTGGTGTAGTCTTCTCCGGACATTGTGGTGATTCTCCACTGGAATTAATGCTGGTGGATGCGCTAGCTGGTTTGACATTCCATTCACAAACTTTAGACACACGACTTGACTGTCCTTGCAAGTTAGGTTCAGTCGGTGACAGATGCTTTTGGCGGCCAAATATTCGAGAATGCTTCAGCCAACTAACTACGGATCTTTTTGTCTCAGACATGGGATTAACAGAAACGCTACTGTAGTTGTATCCCGTTTATTGGGAAACTATTTCTTTGGCCATTTTTTATTCAGCATGCACTGACCTTGGAACGAACAGGATTTGGCCAATCAGAAAGTAAGCCAACCAAGTGGCATTGCCCAACGGGATGACTGTTTACAAGTCAGCTCTTTGTGACAAGACAAAACTGTCCTCATTCGACGATGCTTCAGAAGATTCAGAAAATCGTTAGAATGCTGTGAATACGAGGCACTGTTTGTCATACCCTGGACTCCAGTAACCAATCGTGTTTTAAATAGGTGCGCGAAATTTTCGGCATCTGGCCGAAAACCGGATGCTCCATAAACAAAAATATGAAAACTTTTCTGCTTCAAACTGTAAATGAGGTTACTTCACTTTACTCCAATCTCCTAACATCGGATTTAATTTATTTTGGATTACGGGCCGACTTGGTTCCAGGAGATTCAGTGTCCTTCTCCGAAAAATGAGAGAGCGGAGGTGTCGTTAAGCGTCATAAGCGACGGCAGAGTCCGTTTGTTCGTGTAGAATTAGTCTGGTCGGAAAACTGGGCTGCAATTTATTGGGGGCAGAATCGCCCCTGACTGCACTCAGCGGCTAACCCATCCATGTCTGCTGGTGTCACTTATAATTGATAAGTAGACTATCAGGGTCTCGAAACAGAGAGGTCACAGGCATCAATCCGACTGAGTTTACTGGTTAGCACTTTCGTAATTCGTCGGCAGTTTATGGATTGTCTACCTCTCAGTCGGCTTTACGAAAGGAGCTCTGCATGACAGCTAGCCCGCCAACATGCGACGAGCACATCTTAAGAGCTTGGACTATAAAACAAAACTATAAAAACAAACTACAAAACATCAACGTAAAGTTCTTTCTTTTTAAAACGAGCTGATTTACATCAACATTGCTAATACGATGTTCCCGCCAGACTGGGTCAGCGCTTTGAAGATCCCGATGGCCAAACACTTTCAACCTTCGTATATTCCATGCGTATAGCGGTCAGGTTTCTGACCCGGAAGGTGGTATAGGTCACACCTCCGCAGAGTACAGGCAAAATGAGGTCACGGTTTTGCCACGGGTGTCAGAAGCTGACCCGACAATTTTAAGAATGATCGGTTCCCCAAGAATTTCACCGGAACTTATGTAGAAAAGTGGGCTTGCAACTTGGTGTGGCTTATCTGCAAGCACTTGCATTCGATCCCACCCATTCATGTATCAGCAATCTACAATTCGCAGAGGTGAGAGCATAACAAACCACGTTCCAGGGTTAATTCGCTTATTTCAAATGACTTGCGTCTTTGCAGAATTTGAACCAAGATGAGCAATATCGTCCGCGTATTCAACGTTTTCGCACAAACTTTCTATGAGTATTTTAATCCCTGAGTTTTTGTAATCGGGTATAAGAAGCCTAAGCAGCACACCAATAACATGGTTGACGAAGAATGGTATTCGAAAGCAGTCGTGTTTTACTTCACGGCGTGTGCTGAACTCAGGCGACAGTTACTGTAAATCCGCATACACCCACAGAAGGGCGCACACAGTGCCTCCATTGATGATATAATTTTACCAGAGACAGCTTTGTTCTGCAGTCACATTTGTGATTTTTGACGATTCATACAGTCCTAAGCATCTTTCAAGTCAATAAAGACGACCATCGTTGGTGGCTTCAAACGATATCACTGTTTCAGAATTTGTCGAAAAGCTAAATATATGGCCGATGTATTCGCCACCAAGGGGAAATCCAGCTTCATCCTCACAAGTATCTCTCTCTTGATAATCAGTCAACCTTCAGTGGCTAGAAGCAGCTGAAGTTAATGAACAAAGTTGCTTTGCTGCGGCTAACGTAATACTGAGAGATATCAAACTTATAACTCAGCATGCACAATAGCATGCTTGGACTTAAGTTGCTTACTTCAGGGTGAACGGAAGTCTAGGACTGAAGTCCTTCGGCGGCAACCTCTAGTCGTATAAACAGCGTATAGCCCAAAGACAACTGTTTACTGGAAACCAGTTCAGTAAAACGCTTAGAGCCCTAGGGCTGATCGAAACTCCTAGCCATAGGTGTCAAGAGCTATTGCATCATTAACACCAGACACCTGAAAATGGAAACATCTAAGCTCATCCAAAGGTGCTTGAGATGCGTGATTGAAGTGGGGTCCTGCATGCTTGTTTCTGTAAAACAACATAAATCGATCGAAAAAAAGCCAGTTCACAACAAGTGATGTCTGTTACCCAGTTCAACACAGATTATGAAAATTAAATCTACAGGGTGGGTCAAACGTTCTAAGTTCGGTGAGGGGTCTTTTTTCGTGCTCAGTAGTTTGTTTACACACGAAACTGTGGCAGATGGATCGGGCGCAGTTAACTATTCGATGGTTTAGGAAGGACTGTGGGCAAGATTTTGGTTAGCAAAGGGCAAAGAAGAGTGGGGTTCTCTCTAAGGACCCGCTTGGATATTAGGACTGGCCCGGTCCGGTGGCACAGGAATCAAGCGATCAGTGCCTCATTCTTGAAGCCACTGTGTGTAACAGATGTGCTTAAAACCACTCCGGGCTCTTGAAGGTTCTTCAGTGTATTTTGACCGTATTGACCGGTGGTCATGGTTGCGATTCAAACGATCGGAGAGTGCAATTTTAGGGCCTACTTTTATAACCTGTCCTTTTTCCAAGAAATGGAGCCACATTGCTCTCGCAGATTGCTTACAGGAAACACCTTGCCGCCCTCACAATATCACCACAGGGTACAGTAGAGGTTTAGCTGCGTACCTTCTCATTTTACGACCATTCGCATTACGGAGTCTCGCGGTTCTTTATCTGTTTGTCTACCTTTGACTTTCTCGGTATGGTTGCACCTTGTCGATTAGATATCTAGGTAGTTTAACCCGCTGGTCAATGCATAATTTCCGATGGACCACTAGGATGCACTGACATGATTCGTCGGGACCATCACTAAGTTCATTCGACTAACTTGGACATTTTCCGTAGATTAACCATGTCTGTCTCAAATGACCTTACTGTGGATTTTGAGATGACACTACTAACATCTTTCAGACTCAGTGACCCAAAGCGGAAGCAATACATTTAGTTATACGACTCAAGCTCCTGTGAAAAAACGTTTTCCTCTGAAATCCTTCGGTGACTTGTCTCGTGTTTGTTGGTAGGCAGGTTAGCAACCATATAGACATCTGATAAGCTCACCCGTTCTAGTGTGTTCGCATTGGATTGACAGCTTCAGACAGGCCCACACAAGGGCAGGTAGATTTCCTCATCTGATAAGCTCTATTGATCGCCGCGACGTCTTGTTTGCGTGATGCTGATGTCGACGCCGGCGAGTCTCGTGTAATTTGGTCCTGTCCGTTATCCCAGTAGTCAATACGACGGAAGTTACCTCTACCGTATCATCTGAACAGCTGTATCAGTAAAACATAGTAGTTGTTGATTGTGCTAATGAGCTGACACGGCAGTTTAAACGGCAACGGCAGAAAGGCCTGAGTCACCGTAACTTTTGTAAGCATTGCAGGAGGATAAAAGCACGTCCCTTTACATACACTACTGATAAAGTTGAAGACTATTCACCGGTCAACTATATTTCTCCCCGTACTTCAAGTATTATATTATATATATTATTTTTCGTGCTTGAAAACTAATTTCGAATAATATACAGTCATTTGTAACTTTTTATAAGACTGCTATTATCATAACTTGAACAGTTCGTTCATACTGGTGAACCACCAAAGTACTTCACAGGACACCTACTGCGTTGACGTTGAGGGACAGACATTTCTCAAAATCATGTGATCTAGGTACATGACCTACTTAACACCACGTGACGTCTTTCCCAACGCTTATCTTCAAGTTGGAATATTGCCGGACTTGACCACGACATTCTAGAGGCTTTTGCTAAGTTCATCACAAAAAGTAATGAATGAATGTCTTTCCGAACGAAAAGCTCCCCCGAGATAATTTTAGATCCAGTGCATAGTACACACTTGCCTACGCAAAACAAAGACCGTAACTTTTCTAACTGTAACTTTTTTAAATCATTTGTGTAAGCTTTGAAGTTGGATACAGTCAAAAGTCGTCCGTTCGAATCACAATTGAATAGATTTAGGAACCGCCCTGAAGTGCAGATATTGTACACGTAGTTTATTTTGCTCTCTTTCGACATATGAAATTGGTTCACCAATCACAGTATGGTGGAATTTTACATATCTTTTATATTCAGAGACTCAGGGCGCTGTGTTATATTCAATCGAATTTCAAACCCAATCATTTTGTGAGATTTCCATTGGATGAAAATGGAAAATGTGCCCCAAGTGCGCATTTGGGACTGAAATGATAACTGTGATTTGATAGGATAAAAATTCCTCAAAAACACTCAGGCACCCATTTCTATGTGTTGGAGCTGTGGAAAAGCTTGAAGACGATATTCCACAGAGATTGCATCCTGTCAGTGGAGCCAGTCTACGGTGAAAAGTTGAGAACCACTGTATGGCTGTTTTATCCTTACTGGGAATCACCAACAGTGCGCATCTCACGAAGCCCAAAGAGTCTTGAACCCACGGCCTTTCGGTCACTGGTTGAACATCTAACCGTTTGGCCACGAATGGCTGATCAACAGTGTGGTTAGGTAATAACCACGTCTGAAAATTATTTCAATGCTCACATGGTTGAATGCAGAATGTAAGGCGCTTTCAAAAATTCAGATCACTGTAGTATCGATTTTCAACTGATGTTTGTAATGACCCTAGCAGAGTGGAAAATACACGGCCTTACTTCGACGGAACCGGTAAAGATTCCGAACGTGGAGAACAATTCCAGAGATGAGACATCAGTGAGAGTTACACACATTGTACTGGCCTGCTTGTATTGTGAACAGACACTACATTTCACACAATGCTATACGGAAAAGATATTCACCATTATGTAGGCAACTAATTTAAAGCGTTCCCATTAGAAGAAAAGCCAGGCTTGCTTTTCTCT